TTCTGGTAGCTCTCCTAGCTCCCGTCATCAGCGCGATTGCTAGCCATTTTCTGTCGAAAAGATGAACCATACTAAGAAATTGATGCTCATTGACCCGACGGCCCTCTCACGTTTGCAAACCCCAGCACCCCTCAGTCAGTCTCAAACTGATCTTGATCGGTCCATGCAAAATATTCTAAAATTAACTGGAATAGACGATGAACAAAAATGGGACATGTACAACCAGCAACTTCAAAAATATTTGTTTCGGCTAGAAGATTCGCGTAAACCACTACAAATCCCCATCAACGCCGTAGAGGATCACGAAAGAGTCGTCCCCGAGACTCCTATAAAGCCTGATCTAAAAGATCGGGTCCGCAGCGATATCCCTCATAAATTCACTCATAAAGCGACTGCTTTATATCAATTTTTAGTCGATGTCCCTAGCCTTACGTGGGATAGTGCAGGTCGCATCTCCATCGACGGTCAATTAATTGAACGTTCCAATCTTATAGACCTTATTGGGGATTTAATGCGAGAGAGGCGATCGGTGCAACCGCCCGTGGGAGTGAGTGATCTCCTTCGTGTCCTAAAAGACTCGAACGTACCCCGAGAGCTCGTGGGCAATAGCGTAAGATGGTCGGAGATGCAAACGGGGGCAGGAGCGTCACGGACCCGCTCACTCAAAAAACAAGCCCGAGCGCTGACGTGGGAAAGGATACGGCTATAACGGAAGAGGAGGATTCCGTTTTAAGAAATACCTTTTATGACACCTCGCATCCCGCCGCTTATTCCACAGCCCCCATCTTAGCTAGAGCTACGCACATACCCCTGCCCCGTGTCAAGTTGTGGTTGGAGGGGGAAGAACCTTACACCTTACATAGGCCTGTGCGTAAAAAATTTCCTCGGAACCCTTATCATGTCTTTTTCCCCGATGACATGTGGCAAGCCGATCTTGTTGACATGCAGGCCCTGGCTTCAAAAAACAATGACTATCGTTACATCTTGACGGTCATTGATTGCTTTTCTAAGTTTGGTTTCGCTCGGGCCATACGCAATAAAACGGCTGCAGCGGTTGTCGAAGCTTTCAAAGATATTTTTCATACCTCGGGGCGGACTCCCCGGCTTTTAATGACGGACAAGGGAAAAGAGTTCAATAATCAACCACTCATGGCACTCTTTGAACAAAAAAATATCCGCTTTTATACCAGTCAGGACCCCACCATCAAAGCTGGAATTATTGAGCGCTGGAACAAGACCATTAAACAAAAGATGTACAAATTTTTCACTCATCATTCTACACACCGGTATATTGATGACCTCGAAAAATTTGTACAAAGTTATAATAGTAGTGTTCATTCGACTATCAAGATGGCCCCCAAGGACGTTAACGAATCCAATATGGCTCAGGTGTACGCTACGCTGAAAAAACGCTGGAGCGCGATAACCCCTGTCCGAATTAAACCCGAACTGACTGTTGGTACGCATGTACGCATACCCATGGACCCGGGTAAGTTCGGAAAAGGGTACGAGGAAACCTGGAGTCAGGAGACCTTTAAAATAAGGCGCGTGGTCCCCAGAACCCCAGTCGTTTACGAGCTAGAAGACCAAGAGGGTGGGACCGTGGAGGGCAGTTATTACACTCATGAGCTGCAAAAAGTGAAGCCCACAGAGCTCTTCAAGATTGAAAAAGTCTTGCGTACACAAAGGGTTAACGGGAAAACGCGATACTTTGTTAAATTCAGAGGCTACCCGGATCGTTTCAATTCTTGGGTTGATAATCTCGTGCAACTGTCATCATGAGTGGGGACTTTTATTTAACGCTTCCTAGCAACAGTAGCATGGAACGATACCCTCAAAACACCACCGCGAATTACACCACGGCGCTCGCTAGGAGAATAGAACTGGCCGGGGAGGATTACGAGGTGGCCCTAGTGGAGGTATCGTTTCCCCTCACGTTTCAACATTTTCCAGATTACTCTGAATCAGTAAGCATCATATCGAATCTAGGGCGCAGGCGTATTTTACCCTTACAGGAGCAATATTACGCAACACCGGCCGACTTGGTGAAAACGATCAATCGTACTCTCCCAAAAGGTTCTCTCCTCAGTTTGAATGATGAGTCGTCTCGTGTCACTTGGGAGACCATTCCAGACCAACTGCACAAGAGTGTGTCGTACAGAGATCAGGATTTTGTGACTTCTTTTGAAATGACTCCTCTTTTGTCTTCCGTACTAGGATTTACAAAACAACGTTTTGAAATCAGCAGGGGAGGGGAAAGACCATTAATACCCATGTCCGATTTTGCGACCTATACTGTTAACCTTTACGTTGGACTGCCTGAACAATTGTTTTTCTATTGTGATTTAGTGGAAGAATCGTGCGTTGGGGATACAGTAGCGCCCCTTCTTCGGGTCGTCAATGCAAGGGTATCCAGTACCACATACGGTACAATGAACACCACCACATATCACAGACCGTTTTACATCCCAGTCAAAAAGAGGGCGTTTGATACGGCCGAAATCCTTATAAAAGACTCCATGGGCCGAAACGCTTCATTCTCTCACGGGACCTCCACGTGTGTACTTCATTTCCGGAGGAGGCATTTTGTGTGACATCATGCCTTGTCCATACACAGACTACTACGTACATCAAGCTCAAACAGGGCGCGGCATAAATCATTATTACAGTGGCGCCGCATATCAGAAGGGTCACGGTATCGGAAGCTTCCTCACGGGTCTCTTTCGATTTGCAGCACCACTAGTTCGAAAAGCCGCCACCGCCGTGGGAAAACAAGCGCTGATAGCCGGGTCTAATGTGGTCACCGATACACTCGTCAACAACCACTCCTTCAAGGACTCTGTTAACGAACAATGGAATCAAAGTAAGGGCGTTCTTGCAAACAGTGCCAAGGAGACCGTTCAGAAAATGGTGGGGAGCGGACGTATAAGAAAGCGCAAGCGGAGTTCAAAACGCCAGTCGACTCGCAACGCCAAGAGAAGGAGGACTGCTTCCAAGACCGGGAGCAAGCGGAGGACTACCAAAAGAAAACCTCAACGGCGTCGAAAGGCTCCAAAGCGCAAGGCCCCCAGGCGTAAAAAGGCTACCAAGAAACGTAAGGTGTCATTTCTAAAGCAAGATATCTTTGACTAGCCATGGCTCACGAGTGTGTTTTGAGCCAATTGGATCTCTTCTCCTCCCCATTACATAACGGCTCTGTTAAAAATGGCTACGATGTCGTTTACGATTCATCCGAATCGACGACTGAAAATAAGGGTGTCATCAGAATCAACGTACCGCCGGCCATTGGGGATGACTACACCGACCTAAAGAGTACTAGACTTTACATTCAGGCTCAAATTCCTCAAGATCCTACACCTGCGGGTGCGAACGCTCCGCCAACCCCCGAAGTAGGACCCATTAACAACTGGGCCCACTCTCTCTTCAGTCAGATTGACCTCATTTTGAACGGGAAACGGGTGACGTCACCCGATTACATGTATCCGTGGCGTGCCTATATGGAAACGCTCCTCAATTACGGGGCTGAGGCCAAAAATTCTCATCTGACGAAAAGATTGTTTTACAAGGATACCGCCAGGTGCTTCAACAAACGTACCGCCGCAAATGCGGGCTACCTTAAGAGGGCTACTGCCGTGGCTGAGGGAAAAGTAGTTGATCTCGTGACTAATCTCCATCTCGACATGTTTTCTCAAGAACGCTATCTACTTAACGGGGTAGAAATGGGCCTTCGCCTGCACAGAGCCAAAGATGAATTTCATCTCATGGGTCCTGAGAATAGCAAGGCAGAATGCAAGATTTTGAGGGCTGCTCTGATTGTCCGAAAGGTTAAAATCAACCCCTCTATTCTCATCGCCCACAGCAAAGTACTAGCGACAACCCCAGCAAAATATCCACTGAAACGTGTCGAAATGAAATCGTTTACCATCAACGCTGGACTCAAGAGCAAAATTATCGACTCTGCCATTCAGGGCACAATGGCGAAAAGAGTGGTCCTCGGAGTCGTATCCAATTCTGCTTTTAACGGTTCATTCCCTGAAAACCCACTGGAGTTTATACATTGTGACGTGGACTTCATATGTCTATACAAGAACGGACAACAAATACCCTCCGTTCCTCTCACGCCTGATTACTCTAACGCATCTTCGCCTCAATATGTCGCCTGCTACGACACCCTCCATACCGGGACGGGTATTCACTATAAAAACTCTGGAAACGACATCTCTCGTGACGAGTATCCTCACGGGTACTGTCTCTATGCTTTTGATTTGACGCCCGATCTTTCCGCCCACAGTTGCATGTGGAATCTACAAGAGACAGGTTCTCTGCGAATAGAGATTCGCTTTAAGACTGAACTCACTAGGGCCGTTAACTTGATCGTCTATGCTGAATTCGACTCTCTTCTGGAAATTGACAGCTACAGGAACGTGACTACAGACTACTCTACCTAGCAACCATGAACACTCTCGAGATAAAAGATTGCCTAGAGAAAGACGTGTACACTCGTAAAATTTTTAAGGGCGTATACGCTGCCGATAAGTTGCCTAACAAAGTATCTTACCCCAGTTTATTTGTAGCAAATACCAAGGGGCATAACCACCCCGGAGAGCATTGGATTTGTATTTATTTTGATAAAGATAAATCATCTGAATATTTTTGCAGTCTTGGTTTCCCACCACGTATCCCGTGGCACCTTGATTTTGTTAAAAAGCATTCTGTACGATGTACGCGTACACCCGTTCGACTTCAAGCCCTTATTTCTAACGTCTGTGGGCAATATTGTATTGTATATGCTTTGAATAGAGCTCGTGGCGTGCCACTTGGGCTATTCTTGAAACGGTTTTCTACCCGTCATTACTCCGCAAACGATGCACTGGTACGACGCATATTCCATCACAACTTCCCCTCGTGGAAGGCACAAACACAGACACCCGCAAACACACAATTCTGCTGCGTAGCGCACACGTTTCAACAACTCCTAGCACGCCAAGACCTGTCCTGACATGTCTCAACCTGCTGGCCTGCACACCTGCATCCGTCCACTACCTGCCTCAAAGGGGCCCGTCTGCGGAAGGCCTTCTACCTGGAGTCCACCCCCACCATTGCTGGACCCCTCCACCGCCATCGCCAGAGAGCCCTATATCTTGCCGAGGACGCCTGGGACCTCCACAGTTTCTCGCCACCTTCAGTCGCACGAGCATCTCACCATGTCTACCCAAACTGCCATGGCCTCTGCTGGAGTCGATGAGTGCGGCATTCGAGCTGTAAGTATACCAACGACCCCCTTCTTTAACTCACTCATTTTCAGGACTTTACATTTATTTATTTTTTCTATTTTCTAGACTGATGCCCCTGTATGCTCCTTCTACCACACGACTGGGCCCGAGACCTGCTGGGATACTGAGTGCCCCAAGTGCGGCCCTGAGGTAAGTTCACACACACACTTGTTATTCATGATGACATTCTGTGTCACATGTGACTTAACCCCTAACGTCTCTTTTTCACTCAGAATAGAAAATTAGTGGAGCATCCACGTCCCGCCAAGGACGAGTCCGAGGATCAACCCGAATTGCCATTGAAGAAGAAATTCAAGCCCAACCCGACTGTAGCAGAGAATCAGACTTCTGCTCTCTCTACTGCCCAACCGCTGCAGCCTTCATCTGTCTCATCGTTGGAGCTGCTCTCACCCTCTATGTCGACTGTCTCTACCATTGGGACAGGAAACGACTCCCTCTCTGGCTCCGATTCGACGGTCACATCAACAACACCCTGCAATGAAGGTATGACTGAAAACGGTGATATCGATGTGTTTCTTCATGGGATCGTCATGTGCATTAAAGAATGCCGCCCCCAATGGCTCACTCAACTGCTAAAGCATAGACGTCGAACCACGGCAAAATGGTCTCCACGCTACAATGCACTTCTTGAAATGAGGTTCGCTCTAAACTTTTCAAAGTCCAAGTATTTAGTAATGGGACTAGATTACGAGAGGGAATTTGCTCCTTTTGTGTCTATTGAAAATGGTAAGGGGAGGGGCGTTGTCTTGGCCACGAAGGAATTGTTTGAATTAAACGAGCCAGCATGGCTTCAATCTGTCGAGGAACATTTTAAAGATCCCTCCTACCAAGTACGCACTCGCTGTACGAAGCGTCATGAGCTTCGATGTGGCATGCATGATGGAAAAGCCTGTGTACAAATCTCACCCTTGGTTGGCAAAGGAGGTTACATTTGTTTGGGAGAATCGACCTGGCGAACCCTTGTGAACTTATATTCCTTTGCTGAGAAGTATTTGGCTCTTATCCACTTAATTAGACAAGATCTGCCTCCCTATCTCATGCGGCTCCTGTCCACGCTGGCTTATGAGTGCGGTGGGCACGAACGTACTACTCTGGAGTCCATCAAGGATTTTTTGCCTCAGCTTTTCGGAGTGCATGTTGACGTAGAAATTAACCCATTCCTAAATCGCGAGACTCTTCAAAGTGCTAATTTCTTGGAGGCTCAATTTTTTAGTGAACTGCTATTTGTGTATCCCGAAATGACGTCTCAACTCATATTGTACACCCTTAAAAAGGGTCTTAACGACTCCCGCCAATAAATTTTTCGTTTGTATTTCCAGAACAACGGTGTTCTTTTACGTGGAAAGGCGTGTACGTGGACCCCCTTTTTATGAAACTTCTTGTATGCCTCCTAGTTCACATGTATTGTATGTTAACATCAACCACACTGATTCCCCCAACCGCGTGGGGTAAAACGATGGCCCTCGCCGTGATTGGGTATGAGGCCTGGTATGCTATGTATGTTTTTGGAACATTAATCTTATATTGCCTAGATACGTTTGCTTCATCCTTTAAGATTTTCTACTCTGAATTAAGTTGCCCTCAATGGCTTTGTACAATTGTAGATTTTAAAAACCTTCACAGTCTTGTCAATGCTCTGTTTATGTGTCTTTGTGTTTTTATTTTTGGAAGTGTGGCTACTATGCTGAAAAGCCCTCTATGCGTCGTACTTGTTTTCAATTTACTTCTCATATATTATGTATGTCATGCCTTTTATTGCTCACTTAGAGTCGTTCTTGATGTCATGTATTCCATCTGCTATATTTATCACTATGCACATATATTCGTATCATCACCTTGGTATTAGTGTATAAGCTTTTCGTGTGTAAGATCTCAAAAAAAAAATATAAAATACTTGAAAATCACAAAAAAAATATGCATGTACTCCTTTGTATCAATAAATATAATGATTGAAACACTGTGTTTTCATTTGCCCTGGGATCTCATATCGTGGAGGGGAGTGGGAAGGACCGCCATACACAGGTGGTGATAGAATAAAGCTCCAAGCACATGAAACGGAAATTACAAAGGGTGAGGGGAGGGGAGGGAACTCCACACGCAAGACACGGCAAAATAAAAAATAAAAGATGTCCGAGGGTGAGGGGAGGGGAGGGGCTCCAAGCACATGAAATGGACAAAACATAGGGCGAGGGGAGGGGAGGGTCTCCACACACCGGAGACGGAGATAGTCATTCCCATATGGACGCTTCGTCCTTACCTGTGCCCCCGTAGCCTAGTGGTTAGAGTCGTCATCTCGTAACCACAAGGTCGGAGGTTCAAATCTTGCCGTCAGCCGAAAAAAAAAAGTGAAAGGTGTAAGGGGTAGCGAAAGGTGAAAGGGGTACCTTAAGGTGAAAGGGGGTAGCGAAAAGTGAAAGGGGGTACCGACATGTGAAAGGGGGTACCGAAAAATACCTGCCCCTGGGAGGTAGGCAATTCTGTTGCCCCCTGCCCCTGGTGGGTAGGCAAACCCGCAATACATATTCGTGCGTAGACCCGCACCCTTACTACTAACGAGCTATCTGTAACAGGCTGTCTATAACAGGGTGTCTGTATCAGGATGTCTGTAACAGGGTGTCTGTAACAAGCTGTCTGTCATATGCTGTCTGTTACAATCTGTCTGAAACAGGGTGTCTGTAACAAGGTGTCTGTAACAGGGTGTCTGTAACTAAGTGTCTGTAACTAAGTGTCTGTAACAGGCTGTCTGTAACAGGCTGTCTGTCATATGCCAGGCCCCTCAAACTCGCGGCTCTCGAGCCACCCGTGGCTCGGCTGGCCGGGCGCGCGGCTCGCCGAGAGCCACCATTAGGCTGTTTCAAAAAAAATTACCTATGCCAGAGCGAGGTTTTTCTGAAAGTTTATTTCATGCTGATAGTCATGGAAAAAACCCGGGGGCTGTGCGATGAAGGGAACCCGGCGCAACCCGCGCTCAAAGTTTTTTGGGTGTCTTGGCGGGTATCACGACCGACACGTTCTCGGGCCCGGTGTGCGGCTGCGGCGCCGCCGCCGACCGCGCCCGTTCCTGTGGTGACTACCTATGGTATGTACTTTCTATCGGACATGGTCCGACCCGCCCTCCCCACCCCCCTCAGGAGCCAGGGCGTAAGTACTCAAAAACCAGGTACCTCGCTCTAGACCGAG